TGTCTGGAAGCGAGACGTCAGTGTCGGCGACGTGGCTGGTTTTCCTTTTGTAGTCCGTGATTGTCTGTAGACCATGCCACATACATCTCGTGTCTGAGCCGTTGAATTGCGACCCCACTTTGTCTCTATACTGATGTTTTGCCAGTTTAATTGCCTTGCGGAGTGAGTAGCTACACTGTTTGTATTCTGCCATATTCCCAGTCACCTTGCCATGGTTAAATGCGGTGGTTCGCACTTTCAGTTTTGCGCGAATGCTGCCATCTATCCACGGTTTCTGGTTAGGGTAGGTTTTAATACTCACAGTGGGCACAACACCTATACACTTCCTGATAAACTCAGTCACCGTTTCAGTGTATTAGTCTAAATGATTTTCGCAAGCTACCCGGAACATATCCCAGTCCGCGTGATCAAAACAATCTTAAAGCGTGGATTCCGATTGGTCAGACCAGCGTTGAATAGTCCTTAGCACAGGTATTTCCCGTTTGAGTTTCTGCCTATAGGCATGGAGAAGCAAAATGGAGTCGTGGTCAGATTTGCTGAAAGGAGGGCGGGGGAGGGCCTTATAACCATCCCGGAAGTTCGAATAGCAATGGTCGAGGAGTTTAGCAGCGTGAGGACAACAGTTGATATGTTGATAGAACTTCAGCAGCATAGTCCTCAAATTTGCTTTGTTAAAATCCCCGGCTACAATAAATGCAGCCTCAGGATATGTGGTTTCCAGTTTCCATAATTCCAGTGAAGTTATTCGGCTTGAGGGGGGATATACACAGCTGTGACTATAACCGAAGAAAATTATCTTGGGAGATAATACGGTCTGCATTTGATTGTGAGGTATTCTAGGTCGGGTGAACAAAAGGACTTGAGTTCCTGTATGTTACTACAATTACACCATGAGTCATTAATCATGAAACAAACACCTCCGCCCTTCTGCTTCCCGGAGAGATATTTATTCCTGTCTGTGCGATGAACTGAGAACCCATCTGGCTGGACCGATTTCGACATGTTACAGGCCTTGATGTCTCTCTGGAAAGAAATCCTTGCCCGGAGCTCGTCGACCTTGTTAAGCAGAGACTGAACATTAGCGAGTACTATACTTGGAAGCGGTGGGTGGTGTGTGCGCCTCCTAAGTCCAACCAGCAGGCCGCTCCAGAGTGCCTCTCCCCCGCCGGCAATGTTTTGGGTCAGCCACTGGAATCAGTTCAATTGCCCTGGGGAGAGCAAACAAAGGATCTGCTTCAGAAAAGTCGTATTCCTGGTCGTAATGCTGTTGAGTTACCGCCGCTCTGATATCCAATACTTTTTCCCGGCTGTATGTAATGATACAAAGCACTTTTTTAGCTAATAATGTAAAAAATAATACATAAAAAAAACAAAATACCGCAAAGTTTCCTAAGAGCTAGTCGCAAGGCCGCCATCTTCGTCGGCGCTACTTCTTCAAAAGTGTTGGCTTCCATGTCCTCTTCATGTTGTTCTAATTGGTCTCTGACCATCCTCACTGCATTGCAACTTGTAGCTGCTTTGTTAATGTCTGCATATCCATTTCCAGTCGTTTGCCTTTCTCTAAAACTTGACGTGTTAACACCAAGCTTTTTGGTTCCATTTTATTTAGTGATTCAAAAAACATGGCTTTGTTATTCATGCTCATTTTCCAAGGTGATTGACACACGTCATCATTTTCCTCCTTTTCATCCTCTTCATCATTATGTTCTTCATCATCTTCATCCATTTGTAAACCAGCAAACACATTGTTGAATTTGAGGTAAACAGGTTAGAGAAAATGGAAGGTGATCACCTTCGCGACCAAATATCTCATACACAGTTCTTTGTGAGCTAGTTTGACTTTTACTCTCATCAGCAATGATTTATCCTCCCACTCTACGCCAAGGATGTAGTTCATCATCACATTGATGTGGGTTGATTTACCTGATCCAGTTTCTCCCATCATCAATATCGTTCGGTACGTTTCACTTCTGTCTTTTTTACCAAAGTCCATCGCCTGATCTCTTCACTGTCATGCAGAATCTCTTTCTCTGTCATCAGCAGATACTTTGTTGGAGGTCCTGGACTGAATAGTTTACAATCTTTTTTGATGTCAGAAATCAGAAGCTTTGACATGGGTTTATTTTCTGAACTACACTGAACATAAATGTTTCATGAGTTGAAATAATAGATCTCAGAAATGTTCCACATGCACAAAATGCTTATTTCTCTCAAATTGTGAGCACAAATTTGTTTACATCCCTGTTAGGGAGCATTTCTTCTTTGCCAAAATAATCCATCCACCTGACAGGTGTGGCATATCAATAAACAGATTAAACAGCAGGTGCACCTTGTGCTGGGGACAATAAAAGGCCACTCTAAAATGTGCAGTTTTATCACACAACACAATGCCACAATTGGCATGGAATATCCACCAGAGCTGTTGCCAGAGAATTTAATGTTAATTTGTCTACCATAAGCCTACCAACATCGTTTTAGAGAACCTGGTAGTACATCCAACCGGCCTCACAACCGCAGACCACATGTAACCATGCCAGCCCCGGACTTCCACATCCGGCTTCTTCACCTGCGGGATCGCCTGAGACCAGACACCAGGACAGCTGATGAAACTGTGGGTTTGCACAATCAAATAATTTCTGAACAAACTGTTGTAAACCGTCTCAGGGAAGCTCATCTGCGTGCTCGTCGTCCTCACCAGAGTCTTGACCTGACTGCAGTTTGGTGTAACTGACTTCAGTGGGCAAATGCTCACCTTCGATGGCCCTGGCACGTTGGAGAAGTGTGCTCTTCACGGATGAATCCCAGTTTCAACTGTACCGGGCAGATGGCAGACAGTGTGTATGGCATCGTGTGGGTGAGCACTTTGCTGTTGTCAACGTTGTGAACAGTGGAACACATCAAATGAAAAATGAAATACCAGGGCAAACATTTTATGTAATATGCCTACACACGTGTAATACAGGGCACACTATATTGCGCTTATGGTACAGCTGTGTTTTAATAGTTGAAACCTTATGTTGACCATTTAACTACATTCAGTGATTCTGGGATGTCTTCTACTTTATTATTGATTGGCATAATCTATTTTCTAAAAGTAAATTTTATATCCTGAATATTTGAGTAAAAATACAGAATATTTAACAGCTTTGGTAGTGATTCTCTGATGTTTCTTAAATATCAGATAAGACCATATGCAAATAGAGAAAGTATATATTCCTGTTGGTTTATGGTGACCCCTGTTATGTCCTTATCTTGTCTAATTATCTCTTCTAGCTGCGTGATGACTCATGGAAAACAAGAGTGGGGAGAGTGGTCAGCCTTGTTTAGTCCCTATCTCAAGTGGGAATGGTTTGAAAGTGTACCATTTGTATATACTTGCTTGGGGTGCTTTGTACATTGTTTTAGTTTAATTAAACAATTCTAAAAGGGAAGATAAATCCTCTTTCTCAAAATTATTTCAATCCTCACTTGGCTTGAGAACTTAAAGGGGTTTTCATCACATTAGGGAAAAGAATCCAGATCGGTCCACTGTATACCTCAATTTAGCAAAATTGAGTGTGAAAGCATTTTTAATTATCCTGGACTGATAGGCTGTCCAGCAGACCTTCCAAACAGGTGGTCCCTTGCAACTAGATGCGGATCCTTGCTAAGAATTATGTGTTAAACTTCACTTGCTAAAGTTAAGCTGATCATATATGCATATATTATCTAAATTAGATATAACGTTGGTTGAAAATACAACTATTTTCAATAGAACATAGTCATGACATACCCGGACTGATGCGTTCCTATACATGTGAAAACAAAAAAGTCAACATTCCCTGATGAGGATAGATGTCGATGCAATCCATCCGGATCATAGTGGTCTAATGTCAAATCAGTTAAGATTCTATAAAAATTTACCAAAGAATTTTGTGCAATAACAGTGCTGTACACCTCTGATTCCAATCCCTGTCTTCACAAGGCACCTCAGGAAAATGTTTCCAATACACTGCCTTTAATTGTTATGCATGTTCTTAAGATTAATTGATTCCCTACAACATTCCATGGAAATAACAACAATCAGTAAAAAAAAAGAAACATACAATTACTGTTACATTAATATATCTCCCCATCACCAATGTTGTACATTCTGTTTGACTGTTGACAGTCATTTAAAAAACAAGTAGGTTGAATAAAATAATGCAATAATAATACGATATGATAGCAATCTTAAAGGTAGACTCAGCATTATGATGTTGCCATGAGCATCACCGCAGATATTGCGATGAGTGCGATGCAAGACTTTGCTCTCAAATAGTCACACAGAGTATTCGAGCGTGGGCACAGGTTCACTTAAGACTGCTACAACGTGGTAGCTTTGTTGTTGCAGAACCTAACACACTAGAGCTGTTTACTTTGTGCATCTATGTCATCTTGCTGAGTCTACCTTTATTAATTAAGTAATTCAATGATGTCATTAACTATATAAAGTGAAAAATATTGAATAAATTGCACAATCAACATTTTTGACATATAGTTTAAACAAAGCTTAGTACTTTCAAAATACATTTAGTTTAGTATCTAAATATCAAACTAATGTTTGATACACAAATCAATGTCACCTGTTAGCCTATTCTTGCAGTCCAATACTTACTATTGGATATTTTCATTATGAGCATAATCACACGTTGCAGTAAAAATGTTCCTTGGTATGGTGCATCTTGTGGATATGTTGGCACGTCGATGGTGTAGATAATTATTTTTCAGCTAAGTTGCTGCATTATACATACTTATACACATTTTCAATTCCATTGACCTCCCGTAATAATGTAAACATATATGTCAGCTTTTGTTTGAGGACCTCTTCTGTCAAACACTTCTGATAGTTTTGAATCGGTTCTCTATCGTGATTGCCTGACAACAGACAATGTGCTGGCAAGCTGATTTGATCCATTCTTACACACTCTTACTGGTTTGTATAGCTAATCATGCAATGTCCATCCTTTCATTTTCTCAACTCATCCCGTTCCTTGTTCAAGTTTTTCCTTGGTCATTGAAGATATTTGCAGAGCTTTTATCTTCATTTCCTGAAATTTCTTTACCCTGTTGATATTTTCTGTCTCTTGATTAATCAGAAGATCAATGTATTCCTCTGATGTCAATGGATTGGGCCTTAGTGCAATCTCCTCCAGTCTTGACACACATTTGTATGAAGTCTCCAGCAGTTTGATTCCTTTGTCTTCTGCTTCTTGTATCTCAGACTGAATCTTCTCCTCCATATCCTCCGCTGTGATTGTTCCACCTAGTCCCTGTCCATACTCTAATTTTATATTATTATATGATTTCTTCACTACTTTGGGGGCCCTTTGGTATACCACCTTTTCTTTGATATGATCTTTCCAGGCGGTTTCTCATGGGATCACAAAGAAATAACAGCTTCTGTGGGACCAATGGACACCTTCGATGACAAGTCATTCCACAGTTATTGCAGTTGGTTGCCATCTTTTCAGATTCAAACCTTACGAACGTGTTAGTGATGACCACAAATTCAAAATCTTTTTGAGCCTCTATCATTTCCATGTTTCCTTTCAACACATTTTGAATTTCGATCTGTTGTCAAGGGTTATCTTCAGCTGATCTTCTATCCCATCAATACAAGCCTCAAAATGTCTGCGTTCCTCTAGCACCTCTTGGGTCAGCTGCAAGCTTCTTGTTTCCAGCGTTGTTAGTAGGTTGATGAAAAATCGGCATGCATTTCTCTTATCCAGAGCGACTTACAAGTTTATTTAACTTCAAATAGAATATTTAAGAAGTACAGTGACTTCAGAAAGTATTCAGACCCCTTGACCTTTTCCACATTTTGTTACGTGACAGCCTTATTCTAAAATGGATTAAAAAAAATGATTAAGCAAAAACAGCTTTTTAGAAATGTTAGCAAAAAAATAAACTAAAATACCTTATTTAAATAAGTATTCAGACCATTTGTTATGAGACACGAAATTGAGGTCAGGTACATCCTGTTTCCATTGATCATCCTTGAGATGCTTCTACAACTTGGTTGGAGTTCACCTGTGGTAAATTCAATCGGTTGGATGTGATTTGGAAAGGCACATGCCTGTCTCAATAAGGTCCCACAGTTGACAGTGCATGTCAGAGCAAAAACCAAGCCATGAGGTCGAAGGAATTGTCCGTAGAGCTCCGAGACAGGATTGTGTCAAGGCACAGATCTGGGGAAGGGTGCCAAAAAATTTCTGCAGCATTGAACGTCCCCAAGAACGAAGGTTCACCTTCCAACAGGACAACGACCCTAAGCACACAGCCAAGACAATGCAGGAGTGGGTTCGGGACAAGTCTCTGAATGTCCTTGAGTGGCCCATCCAGAGCCCGGACTTGAACCCGATCGAACATCTCTGGAGAGACCTGAAAATAGCTGTGCAGCGACGCTCCCCATCCAACCTGACAGAGCTTGAGAGGATCTGCAGAGAAGAATGGGAGAAACTCCCCAAATACAGGTGTGCCAAGCTTGTAGCGTCATACCCAAGAAGACTCAAGGCTGTAATCGCTGCCAAAGGTGCTTCAACAAAGTACTGAGTAAAGGTTCTGAATACTTATGTAAATGTTATATTTCAGTTTTTAATTTTGTATAAATTTGCTAACATTTCTAAAAACCTGTTTTTGCTTTGTCATTATGGGATATTGTGTGTAGATTGATGAGAAAAAAAAACTTGTCAAATCCAATGAAATTATATTTACTCATTTAATGTCACTTATTATATTTGTTACATGTTAGTGTAGGTGTGTGTGTGTGTGTGTGTGTGTGTGTGTGTGTGTGTCTGTGTTGTATGTGTGTGTGTGTGTGTGTGTGTGGGGGGGGGGGGGGGGGGGTAACCATATTATTTATGTATTTATTATTATTATTATTATTAGCATAACTGTGATATGAATGACTAACCACCATTTATTTGTGTATCCATAAAGTATATAATACAGTATACAAAAAAAACATACATTGATACTGAAGTATTGTAAGATGTGAAGTATGTGTAAAGTATCAAATATTACAAAGATGTGGGCCCAACATTTCCTAAATTTCATTTCATCCTTCAATACCATCCTCAAAATGATGTTTTTTACTCAAACATTGATGTCCTCTTACCTTTCACATACCATGGATCTTATTACAACATCTCAAAATTGATAACAAGTCTTTATACATACTAGACACACAAATGTGGTGCAGTTAATAATAGTACCTCTCAGTCATGGAACTGGAAGCCATCTTTCTCTCTTCTGGTCACTTCTGTACTTTCTGAAGTCTGTTTTTGACAAGATGCATTGTTTAATAGCTTACTCATCAACATCTGATTAATCAATGAGCCTCCAAAGATGATACTCATAGTTAAAAATAAAAATAATATTTGTATTACATACATGAGCATGCCATGCAAGTGCTTTTTCTACATATAATCTGATCTTTCAAGCATTATCTTCAAGGTGGTTTAATAAGGAGAGACATGTTTTTGTAATAGTAAGGTATTTGCATTTTTTCAGTACTTGCCAGGAAATAAGGTCAATAAGTTTTGTACCACTATGAATACCCATCTCAAGCACTTCAAATAAAGAAAAACGTACCTGTGCAAGTTGATTATGCCATGACTTTGATTTTGATTTCTTCTCCTCACTCTGGATAATGTTTTACTTGAGGCTTTTATAACAGTCAACAAACATCATTATCATAAACACGCCCCTCACAGGATAATGCTTCCTTAGAAGTGGGAAATACGAGCTTCCGACTAAGAAATAACCACTTGAACGACCCTTTCAAGTCAGAATTACAAGTGGGAAAGTCAGAGATGGAGCTGTCCGAGTTAACGAGTTCTGAAAAATTCTTCCCTAGTTGTTAATTTTCTCGAAATCTAAAGGTACAATCTAGATTCGAGCTAATGTCTTAAATAGTTCAACATGTTATTACTCCAACCTTGTGAAAGTGACAAACGGACACGTTTTCATTTTCGTCAAAAACTACTTTATATTGAAGGAGTGCCTTTGATTTGACAGCATGCAAATGCACAGTTCGGTGCGTGACGACCGTTAGACCCTATGATGTGTTTCTGCACATGAGCTTAGCTTGCCAACATCACCATGACATTGCCTACAAGCGGGATCAGGTATTTCTATTGGAGAAGCAGTTTCTGCCTATCTTTATACTGTACACTTAGAAAAAAAGGTGCTATCTTGAACCTAAAAGGGTTATTTGGCTGTCCTCGTAGGAGAACACCTTGAAGAACCCTTTTTGGTTCCAGGTAGAACCCTTTTGGTTTCCATGTAGAACCATTTTCTACAAAAAGGGTTCTCCCTGGAACCAAAAAGGGTTCTCCTATGGGGACAGCTGAAAACCCCTTTTGGAACCCTTTTTTCTAAGAGTGTACTGTCTTTGATATTACTATAGAATTTTCACAAATGCCTTACTATACGTCATTATGAAAACGTGAAAATTAACATATCTAAGTGTTCGCTTGTCAGAAAATGTAAAAAAAGGTTTCATATTCTTTCTGGGGGTGTATATGAACAGATTTTAATACGATTTCATGTTGCTAAAATGCTGTCAGTTCCACTTTTAGTTCCATAGTTTATATGTGAATAAGAGTTTGGAGCAGTCTGACTGTGAGTCGGATGCCTTTGTATCCGATTCCCCTGGAGAATCTTGAAACCTCCATTACCAACCTGCTATCATGTTACATTTGCCGGGGCCACAGGGGACCATTAATGCACCGGCATAAATGCTCCGACTTCCCCCACATGCTGAACTCTGACGTCACCTAGTAAGGAAATTACCTATTTATATGGTTTTTTGAACACTATGCTTTTTGAACGAGCATGATAGCTGTACTTTATGTTTATGGTTGACACAGCTTGTTTGCCATTAGCCAATTAGCATTTTCATGAGTTCAAAGCACATGAATGCACAGAACTTGTTGCTCCCAGAGTTTCCCCACGCATTATGCTGCCTTCAAATGCTCCTCGGAAGTGGGAAATACAACATTCCAAACTGGGAAATAACCCCTTGAATGACCCATCCGAGTCAAAATTACAAGTGCGAAAGTTGGAGGTGAAGAGTATACCAGAGTTTACAAGTTGTGACGTTTCATCACTGACCTAACAGCAAGGGAATTGGGTATATAGTATGATATAATGTCTATACTATCAGTTACACATGAAATAGATCTGTATTGTTGTGAATCTTCCATTAAGGACTCCCCCTAGACTGGTGCCAAGTTGATAGAATAGAAACACCATTAGAGTTTTGTCCTATCCTGTTGACTCTCTGTCTGTAACAGTTCAGTGTTTACTGTCATACCATGAGTATCAGTGGCGGTCAGTGCCGTTTAAGATTAGGGAGGATATTTTTTTTAAATGAGCATGGCCTTATTTCTGTCACAGCATATTGGATGACTGTCATTAATATTCCATTCACCCAGGTCAATGTAGGTCTAAGCTACTACATGATACTCAAATTTGCCCTATACCCATCATGAAGTTGCTACAACCTAGCCTTCAAATTAAAGCTTATAACGTAGGTGCACAGGTCGATAGACAAATCAGAGTAATTAAAGTGACAGACAGTGACACATTCAATACCGCATTGCACAGTCTTGCCTGCATCTACAGTGGGGAAAATAAGTATTTAGTCAGCCACCAATTGTGCAAGTTCTCCCACTTAAAAAGATGAGAGAGGCCTGTAATTTTCATCATAGGTACACGTCAACTATGACAGACAAAATGAGAAACAAAAATTCAGATAATCACATTGTAGGATTTTTAATGAATTTATTTGCAAATTATGGTGGAAAATAAGTATTTGGTCAATAACAAGAGTTTCTCAATACTTTGTTATATACCCTTTGTTGGCAATGACACAGGTCAAACGTTTTCTGTAAGTCTTCATAAGGTTTTCACACACTGTTGCTGGTATTTTGGCCCATTTCTCCATGCAGATCTCCTCTAGAGCAGTGATGTTTTGGGGGCGTCGCTGGGCAACACGGGACTTTCACTACCCTACCAAAGATATTTCTATGGGGTTGAGGATCTGGAGAACTGGCTAGCTGCCATCCACTCCGGACCTTGAAAATGCTTCATTACGTAAGGCCCAATCCTTTTCGTTGCCCGGGCGGTGTGTTTGGGATCCATTGTCATTGCTTGAAAGACCCAGCCACGTTTCATCTTCAATGCCCTTGCTGATGGAAGGATGTTTTCACTCAAACTCACGATACATGGCCCCATTCATTCTTCCTTCACTGGCGACGTTTTCCACAGCAGGTATGGCGTCCTGGATGCCCGTAGTGATACCGTCTAGGCCTTGTTCCTGGTTGCACTCTGTCAGGCATGTATTGGCTTAAGCAGGGGACACGTCTTGCACTGCAGGAATTGAGTCCCTGGCGGCGTAGTGTGTTACTGATGGTAGGCTTTGTTACTTTGGTCCCAGCTCTCTGCAGGTCATTCACTAGGTCCCCCTGTGTGGTTCTGGGATTTTTGCTCACCGTTCATGTGATCATTTTGACCCCACGGGGTGAGATCTTGCA